CGGCTTTTATTGACTGAGTGTTTGTGAAATGTGTGAAGTGTCTTTTATTTTTTACCACAAAACAAAATTCTATATTCTTTTAATTGGATGAACAAACCAATTTCTCTAATACATTCCGCAATTTCATAGAGGCTGTAAATAATTTTATTATTCAGTTATATGAACAAACCAACAAAATAATATTTATGCTAGTTTCCCATGCATAAATAAATATATTTTAAAAAAAAAAATCAAAAGACAAAGCTACCAAATAAGTTTAAAAAAAAAAACCTAACATAAAAGAGGATGTTGAGATGAGGTTGAGTCCTTCAACGAGACAATAAAAACTGAATTAACCAAATTGAAGAGGAAAACGGAACCAAACCACAAAGAAGAAGGTATTGCAATCCACAAAAGGATGTGATGAGAAACGGTGTGAACCAGAAGCATGACAATAGCAACCATACCGAACACATGGCTAAGAGTTCCTAACAAGTCTGAGATTTCAGGCACCGGCGTAATATACCCATAAACACCACTAAAAGCAGTACCGAATTGAACCATAACCATCCCTTCAACACTATCTCCCCATACGTGAGGAAAATCTGGTAATAAAGGCCAGAACAAGTAAATCTGGACGGCGAGAATGAGCAAGTGTATCGTTACAATGTAGAATACAGAATTTGTCCACCCCAATGTGAGCGTGAGGATTTCATATAGAGTTTGGTGTTCGTCGTCGTTGTTATAGCCTTTACCGTTCATGGTTGATTCTTTTAGGCAGTTTTATTTTCTCTCCTTATTTCAATATACTAGGTGATTTTCTCGTGCTCATGCACGGATATAAATATTTTAAAGTAAATATATGATAATAATTAATTACTATTTAGTTTTAATTTTAAATTAATTTATAATTTGTATGCATTATTTATTAATAATATTATTTTAATTTAATTATACTGTAATTTTATATATGTTATATCTAGTCGATTTTGTTGTTTTTACGGTTGATTTAGTTATCATTTGGGTAAATTGAATTTCGTTGAATCCAACTGTAATATCTAATTTTTAATTAATTACTTATTTGCATATAGTGGGTTTTGTCTTAGATATGTAAATATATTTTTGGAAAATTATGTATAACTTAAGATATATTGTACTTAGAATGAATTAAAAATTAACTAAAGTGTCAGATTCCAAAATACGTAAATTAATATAACGACAATATTCTAAAGTCACATGCATATATATAAATTTTATAAAAGAACTAAAATTTTAAGAGTTGATTAATATTTATTTTCATTTGTTAATATGCTTTGAGTTATCTGATGATCAATAGAAGGTTACATGCTTAAGTAGTTGATACATTTTTGGAAGCTCATGAACACATATCAATATTTACAATAATTAAAATATTTATAAATTCTAAATAACTATATGATTTAGATTTAATGAATATAAACTAAAATTTATTTTAAATAATCTTAAAATTGGGAATTCAGATCTGCTTTGGTAATTTTATTATGGTTATATTTAGTTTCACAAACATAAAAACATAAAATTTAATATTAAGAATTTTTTTTAATAGTGATAAAATATCATATATCTAAATCATTAAATTAATTGTTAATTATTTGATCAAGCGATATTTATTGTTAAATTTATTTTAAGTTTTTAATATCTCTTAAAAATAAGCACTGCAGAAAATTGTGATTATATTTGAAAATAATATTATATAGGTAAAATATAATTTATAGATAATTTTCTGTAATTTAAAGATATTATAGTCAACTAAATAAATACAAAATCAATAATACTAATTATAAACTATTTTTATTACTCTAAAAGTATATTTTATGTTCTTTAAAAATATTTTAAATGTATTATTACTATTTTGTGAACTTTCTTTTTTTATGAAATCATATTATATATACATATATTTTTCGATTTCAATTTTTTTTTGTGACTTTATAAAAAGTTTTCTTTTTATTACATATTTTTTTTGGAAATTTTTAAAAAGGAAACTAAATAAAAGAATGAATAATATTATTTTTAACTTTTTTAATTCATTAAGGGTATTAGTGTAATCAACCATCGTGAGAGTGAACGTGAGAGCGCCACATAGGAAACTGACTTCTCAAATAATATTATAGAGATATATCTCTTTTGGCTAAGGTTTTAACCTTATTTTCTCCTTCTTATGATTAAATCCACCAAATAATACACAGTCAATAAATCAATTTTTTTTTCTACTTTGCTTGAATTTTAGATTATTCAGAGACTTGGCACATTTATCTGGAAGGAGGAATCAAACTGATACAAAAACTAAACAAGATTTCATAAATATCCGAATAGATCATATATCTCTAAAATCAAAAACTCGATATCAAACCAAAAGCTAAATGAATAACCAAATTTTAAAACAATTTATATACTTAAACTATAAATCATATCTAGTTTTGAAATAAAAAGATATTTTTAAATACCATTTATAAACCAAATTACCCAAAAATTCGAGTCATCCAAATGTTTTTTTATCCGAATTTATTTAATTTATCCAAATCACCTGATAATTTGTTTCAAAACTCTTATTTCTGAAATTATCCAAATAAATTTTAATGAACCTCTATTAGTTAATACATTAAATAATGAATTTTAACAAATTTTTTTAATGTGTGAATTTCATTTTAATATAAAATTTGTACAAGAATTCGCAATCTGAATTTCCTCTTTTTAGAATAGTCTGACATTTTTTGTTTCTGGCAGCTGGTAGATTATATTAATAGGATACTAGTAAGTTTACAAGCTAGAAGCTAAACCCCCCCCCCCCCAAATAGCACCCTTAAGCATCAACCAACAATCGAGAAAACAAACATCTATACAAGCAAAACGCTTAAGCACTCAAACCACTCAAACTTCATCACCTGATGCTGGCGGTTCTGATGCTTGCCATGGGGTTCGAACAGGTGGTGTTCGCCATGGGTGGTGAAGCGACGTGTTTTCCGCCGCTCTACTTCGGAATCTGCTCCGCCGTTTACCTAGTGCTTCTCATCGTGGAGACTTTCGAAGAAAAGGAGTTGATCAGAGGTTTATCGATGTGCTTATCCACGTCTTCAGTATAATTGTTTCAGCATATGTGGTCAAGTATTTAAGGAACAACACCGATCTTTTAGCTCTACTTAATTACTCAAGTCAAACTCTCTACTTATTATATTTTCTTGGAGGAGTCGTGGTATTCGATCATACTCATTATTTACAACAATAAAAATACTCATATTCCACTTATACATTTTAAAATATTCTTGATATCATATTTGATTTTTTAGATAGACCGAACTGGTGGAGAGCTCCTATATGAGGATCAAACTATTGTAGCTGTGTATTCGGAGTGTTAACTTTGGTATCTATGTATGACTAATTTCTCAACAGATTTCTTGAAAATTTTTATCACTAGATTCATCGTCGGATGCTTATATTTTCAAAACGCTTGTGCATAAATTGATCAGTTACAAGAACAGGTAGATAAAATTTAGATGTTGTTTTGCTTTGTTTTATGATATTGTTGGCTTCATGGTATGTATTCAAGCATCTGAGAAGCAATAACAATCTATCAGCGCTAGTCAATTTAAGATCATATAAGACATCTATTTTTTTTTATGTCTCTTGCATGAGCCATAGTGTTCAGACAAATGACATTAGCCATAAGAATGAAACTAACTTCTCTTCCACCTACGTATTTTGAGTATGTGTGGTGGTACTTTATTTTTTATGGATTGAGCTCATGGAAGACCACATCAGGCTCAAGCTCTGCCGGTTAAAGGATGATAGAGTCTAGTTCTCTTTGTCATACTCATATTACAAGAGTTTGCTTGGGTAATGTTAATCATTGAAATTTTGGTGGAGCACAACTATAGAAGAACTGGTCCATGAAGATTTGTCTCTAATCGGCTACTGATGAATTTGTGTAGGTAATTAGATTTCTTTCTTCATGATTTTCTTTTGAGAGTTGCAATAGCAGTAGAAATTTGAAAAAGAATTCATTCAACATTCATTTGTGCTAATATTCTAATGGAAAATGTATTAACTTGCATTTTTCATCCCAGTTATTATATATTTATAAATTGAGTATATCTAGTAAACTTGAAAAAAAAATAAAGGAGAAAGATTGGGCTGAAACAACAAAACGTATGTACAGAAAATGTTGAGCTCCTTTTTGAATAAAGGCCCCAACTATAATAGTCCACGATCAGTCGGTTTTAATGTGTTTTTAAAGAGAAGCTAGCTAATGTTTCTGTTCATTATTATGACTGCATCTTATGTACGGGGCTCAGTGTGGCAAGCAAACTCTGTAAACATCATGCACGATTTAAATGCTACTAGCCAATTCTTGCGCATTTCTTTTTTAAGATATCATCATCATTCTTACGTACGATGATGAGCTAGAAAATAGTGGAGAAAATATGAGCTACACAATAAAAACTTATGTAGAAAATGTTAGATATATATGAGCTACACAATAAAAACATATGTAGAAAATGTTAGATATATGATTATTTCGTTTAGATGTCGTTGCGACCTGTAATTAAAATCTATTTTTTTATTTGCATGATTCTACGAGAGAAAATTATATTTTTAATAATCTATACAAAAGACAAAAATACTCATCATAAGTATCAATTTTGGGTTTTTTTATAACCAATCACAAAGAAAGTTACATAGAAAAATGTAAACAGTGTGAGATGATTATCCATAGTAGTGAACAGTGATTTTACTAAGATACAGAAAAGCTTACGTAAAACATTAAAAGCCTTCCTCTTACAAATGCTATTCCTCAAAAGAAACTCCAACCAATATTTGAGGTTACTGTCTAAAAATGTTGCTAACCTGGTCTCACTAGCCTTAGGTCTCAAAAGATTATGGACCCATGAGATTATAATTTCCAATGTACAAAAGGCAAAAAAAAATTAAGAATTAATATAACTTTGGTGTTTTACCGATTGGTGCTGGTTTTTCTTTTTTTTCTTTTAACTTGTATTGCACGTCTTGATCCGTTTAGGTTTTCGAGTATGCTTATCGTTTCCGGTTCGAGAAACCGGTTCATTGACTTCATGATCCTCCTATCAGTAGTAAGCAAAACTAAAATCCATCAGAGTCGCACACTTAACAACCTTTCATATGTTGTTTATTTGAATAGAATCAAAAGGAACCTTGAAGGAAGAGGAACTTTTGGCAAGCTCGATTTGGACAGATATGTTTGCTTTCGTTAAATCCACTCCTGATTTCTCCAATGCTTCTCTTAGTCTTTTCACTAATCTGCTCCACAAACAAAAACAACAAAGTCTTTTTTACTTCCCTTTTTATTTTACTTTTTAACTGTTACAGAACTATAAAGAGTAAATGAAAGGAGTCATTTTAGCTTTACCCTTGTGAGTAAACACTTGATATACTGATGGTACCCTCATGAACTTCCTCCTCATCACCCTCTTCTTCTTCTTCTTCTTTCAATGGCTGAGTATGACTCCGAGAACTCGGTACCGTATCTGATGATGCTACTCTTGTTTGCAACTGAGTTACGGGATTAACCCCAATAACAGAAGAGAAATGATTTTTGCTTTGAAGGGGCAAAGGAAATGGAACAGTCCTTGGCCTTTCACCGTTCAGTGTTGCAAGGACAGGAATGCTATTCTTCTCTTCTTCAAGTTTTGGAGTAGAAGCAATGGTTCCTTCAGGGACAAGCTGTTGGTTCTTTCTCTGCTGTAATGTTAAATGGATCACACATGTTAACATTATTACATGACGGATAAAAAAACAAAAGATTGAAGTATGGTTGGTAAATGTGATTATATCTACCCAATTGAGTAGCTTGGCAGGTTCTTGATTCCATCCTTGGTAAGGAGTCTCGTACTTGCTTGTTTTCTCCTGTAAGAACTGAATATACTCGATAACCTGTATGAAGTTCCGAAGATTAGGAAAAGTTCTGTTAAAGGAATCATTTGGTGAATGCTATGATTATGTATACCTCTAGCAAGAAAGAGGCCTTGTCCCGCTTTTGGTCGCTGTTAGGTATTAATTTTCTCAGCATTTGAAACCTGCAGAGATATCCATTAACAATGTTTTGATTAGTCTCTCTATAAACCAAGTGTGGCTTTTACTACATTTTGAGTAACTTACCTATCATTGATCTTGCTTCTCCTCCGTTGTTCTGTAGCTGAATGTTTTGACCTAGGCGTGTTCAGCTTTGGGTCGTTACTTGCTTTTACTCTCAAATCTACTGTAACGAACACAATCAAATCATATCTTAAGCCTCTTAACGTTTTAAAAAAAAATGTAAAGTTGGATACCAAACCTCTATGGTTCTGGCTAGTGGAGGAGCTTTCTTTCTTCATGTTGAAATCTTCTTCATCATCTAAATCATCATCCTGTGAAGTTCCTTTCGCTGATCTTAGCATGTCCATGAAGCCTTGGCTCTTAAGACCAGACCCTCTGCAACCAAAATAAACTTCATTTGGTCAGAAGACTTTTATAAGTCCATAGACCATAGTAATAGTGAAAAGAGAGAGATCATGAGACTCACTGAGAGGAAGAACGAGAACTGATTAAACCACTCAAGTGGTTATTATTAGTCAAAGACTGTGACCTTTTTTCCACCACTGGCCATTGTCCCATACTTGTTGCAACATCAGCTAAACATTTTTTAAATTAACTTATATCATCATTTCATGTAGCTTATAAAAACATAAGACTAAAGTTTTATTGTTACCTCTCTCCACAGCATTATTCTCCTTCCGTTTCTGCCCCTTACTCACAGAACCAGATTCATCCCACAGAGTAAACCCGCTTGCAACAGCAGCAGCGTCCACAACGTTTCTCTCAACACCACCACTACCAGTAAACATTGGTGGTGAAAGCTCCGGCTTAGGAACTCTTTGATGGTTATGTAAATAAGGTATTGAACTTATAGTGTACGTTCCTATTCCACCGGGAAGCACGTGTTGCAGCTGTGGAGGCGGCTCGGAGGTTATATTGGTTGTGTTAGTCTTACTAGTCTCTTCTTTAGAATGTCCAACGCATTCTAACGGTTGTAGAAAATCATGTGTTTTTAAGTGGCTACCTGCTTCCATGTTTAATCAAAGTTAAAGTATATTAATACACAATCTTATTATAAACGGAATATGAAGTTGTATTCGACATGTGACAGTAATAAAGATTATTTTTCACATAACTATAATCTGATGCGTGAGCTTTACGACATGTGTAGACATTTGGGCTTTGAATATAGTTGGGGACCAATAGGGCCCAATCAAATAGCAACATTTGGATCATTCCTCTTAAAGGAGTCAAGATCAGATGCACGCGCGGAATAAACGTGACACTCTTGAACAGAGAATCTTTTAATTAAATAAAATAAAAAATAAAACTTAAAAAATGGTAAATAGTTAAATACCTTGAGAAGAAGGTGTTGGCTTGGGATCTGACTGAATAGTTGAATGACTGCAGAGCGATAAAAAATCATGTGTTTGTTCTCTCCCTGTCAAAATTCTTCTAAAAATCAAAATTACAAACGAAAAAAAAAAAAAAAATTCCTTTTGATTTGGTAGTAAAATCTTGATAGAAAATTACCCTATGTATTATACTTTTATGTACCCCCTCCGTTTCAATAAGATAGATGTTTTAGAATTATCACACGTATTAAGAAAATTATTTAAATTTTGATTATAAATGCATTATTTTTTGTGTTTAACTATTTCCCATAAACAACCAATCAAAATTTAATAAAAAAATTTTTTTTAAAAAAAATCCACTATTTGTCAGTACTACTTGTATTGAAAATGTTAAAAATTGATCTTTTTGAAACAAAACAAAATTATATAATATGGATCAATTTGAAAGGGAAGAGTATGTTTTGTTACTAGTGACAATATAATTAATAAATTTATGTTGTTAAAAAACAAAAATTATCCTAAAAGTCTTCTTTATTTATTTTTAGAAAAGGAAAAAATAATAATATCTGGAAATAGTGGTGTTACCTTGGGATTTGAAGGGACAAGATTGAGGAAGCTCCATGAACAGACAACAACAGCTTCGACGGTTTCTTTGTAGTTTTGTCTTTTTTTGAATTATACTTTTAATATGTGCGCGGGAATTATATATTTCGTCACTGAATTGGGGTGAATTTTACGTAATTCAACGAGAATCTGTAGCTACCAGCTCAGATCTGCGTCTACTTCAAGAGATGAAGAGGAATTGAGTTCGAAAATTATGATCGGTTTAGCGTAAACCAGCCTCCTGGAGAAATCGGTAGATCTGTCAACAAAACTGCAGAGAAAATTCAAAACTTTTAGCCATAATTCAGTAGAATTATAGTTCAAAGCAATCGAATTACGCATAATTCAAGTCAACTCGTGACCATGAAGATCCGAAAAAACGAGTCCAAGTCAAAATCTAAATAAAACGACAACGGATAGAAAGAGCATACCTTGTCCGAAGATGGAACTACGACAATTGTGAGACAGAGGAACCAAACAAATAAATAACTCTTCGATCTGATCGGAATAAAAAAATGATCAGCCTCAGAGCTCTGTCTCTCTCTCTCTCTCTGGTTTGAGAGGTAATGAGAAGGCGGAAATGTTTTATACAGTCATTTTATAACGCTTCCCGTTATAACAGCAATAAACGACGTTAAGTTCTGACGGAGTCACGTGGTGGATCTCTAGTTTAGTTGCTTTCTAGTGTAAGGTAACAGCGAGGTTTATCCGTTTAGCGGCGCTAAAGGTTAACTTAAATAATACACACACGCACATAAACTTTTAGTTATATGTTTTTATCGTCTTCTACAAAAGTTATATAACTCCTTGCGCAATCGATTAATTAATGAGATACAATATTAATTTGCCATTTGTTTTGTGATACTCTCTCTTTGAAAGTACAAAACTATATTAATATTTTTCTAGTTTTAAAACTGTCCGCGAAATGATGAACTGTATTATCATTGAATATTTGCACAAATACGCCGACCATTTCTATTGAGTTTTGTTATATAACCTAATGATCTGGATATGTAACATACAGTCCTCTGACTAAGTCTTAACTATCAAAGTTGTGAATTTTGCAGGAGTTAAGTTAAAATGAAATTTCGTCGTCCATATATAATAATAATGTAGTGTAGAGAACTTAACAAAAAATGTAGTGTAGAGAAAGTTTCTTTGCTAATATTTTTTTTTCCTTTAGTCATATTTCATTATTTTATTTATTATTTTAGCATTTGTTTTCGTCATCTATACAAATTGACGGTCACTTTGAAATATTCGTTTTTAGAATAAAATTTCAGTATTCGTTGTCGGCAAATGAAACTAACATGCAGCTTTAAATTTAAACTTTTTATAGGCATGCATACACAAACATATGGTTTCTGATATGCGCCACAATCATGACGATAGCGAACATTAAATCTTCACGAATTCATAATTTAATATTCCAATCAAACAGCTCGTATAGTTGTTGGTGACATTTCCCCTGTATTATCAATTCGTTATATGTGCTTTTAGCGTGTCTAGGCTTCTATTTAATTTTACATCAACTATTATTCGTCGACCAACGAGAATCAATAAACTAGGAAGTCCATGTATTTGATATTTAAGTCTTTGTATATTCCTGTATTTTATAACTTTAATACCACCAAAGCCCTTTTATAAATCTCTTCATAAAACCTGGTGAAATCACGTCCCTTTTCATATTGTAGTTTTTATTTTCATATTGTAGTTTTTTTATTCATATTGTAGTAATTTATTACTCCGTCTGTTTTAATTTATTTGGTTTCTTAAGCTTTTGCATACAAATTGAAAACATCATTTAAATTGAAACAAGAAAATCCTAAAACATCATTTATACTGAAAAGAGGGAGTAAAGTCAATATTGTTTTTTTTATAAAATAATTTCAAATGATTGAAACTACTAAACATCTCACATTAAAAAAAAATCGTTGTTGTAAAGTTTTGCTACACAAATAATCATAAATTCATATGAGTAGAAACTTCATTTAATAAATATCCTTTTCAAAAGTGTGCTATATTACTATGTTTATATCATTTAAATTTAATTATATATCATATACAATATATAAGATTGATTATTTTGATTTATTTACACTAATTGCAAATAAACAAGAGGGATAGTTAAATTTATATGCATACGCTTATTACATAATAGTAACTGATTTCTTAGTTATTTAATATATATATATATTTATTGTTTTAGTATTTTATAATATGCAGAAAAATATAAAAATAAATAATAAATATAAAATACTTATTGTGCATAAACTGTAGATCTTAACCTAAGTATGCATCTCTTTAATTATTATAAAATTTTAGGTATTTTCTAAATTTCAGGTCAAAACAAACAAACGAAATGAGAATAAACTTCAAAATAAATATTTACATCGAGAAATAACCAAAATAAAAAAACACAACAAGAAAAATAATTGAAGATAAATAGGATTGACACGTGAGCGTAAACTTCTTATAACCATAATTAATTTTTAAATTTTTAAATCATGATATAAAATTGAGTTAATTTTTAATTTGTTAATTTTTAAAAAATTTAATTTCTTAAATCATTATGGTTATGTTAAATCATGATCAAAATTAATTTTTAAATTGTTTATTTGTATTTGAAAAACTTTTGTTTTTAAAAATAATTTTAAATTTACTTTACTTTTTTATAAAATTATTTATTTTTTAAAAAATAATTTGTAAAAAGATAATTTTATAATATTATTAGACAAATAAATAAATTATATTAAATTAGTTTTGAAACTTTATATATTTTAAATACAAATATTTTACCAACTGCTTCTTAAGAAAGCATTAGAGAACTTGCTAATACTCTACCAATCAAACCCTAACATTCTGTTTATTTTCCATCACTTGAACACTGAAAGGTGAAAAAATATATGAAATCGGATTCATTAAATTCTAAGCTTTGATCTACAGTTCTAATTACAATTATTTCTAATTCTATGTATACATATAAAAATAATCATATGTAAATTTTAAATTTTTTAGTACTAAAATTTTATATTTTAATTATATACATGCACCCTGCACAATGCGCATGTCTTATCCTAGTTGATATAATTAATTGTGTGATCAGTGCTAATTAAAAATCATACTAAGAGAGAGTAAGCGTTGTTTAACAAACATTGTTTTACTGATTTGTCTGATTTTGGGCATCAACTTTTCGAAAACGTAGAGCTAGTAACTGCATTGATATTTTATACTAGTATATCTTTATCTAACACATGCGGAAAAAATGAAGTTAATTAGTGTGGTAGGCGAATAGTTATAACTAGGCCTGGGCATAAAATCCAAAACCCAAAATCCGAACCGAACCCGAACCGAAAAACCCGACCCGTTATCCGACCCGAAATGTAAAAATACCCGAACGGGTCTTATAGAATGGTATAAAAAAATCCGAATCCGAAGTGTTAGTTAACCGAACCCGAACGGGTAACCCGAAATATCCGAAATTAATAGTTAATATAAATATTTTAAATATATATATATATATATTTTTTAGATATTCAGTTTAATGTTTATTTTGATATGATACATACAATAAATATTAAAATATAAATAAATACCTTAAATATATAATTAGTTATAAATAAGTACTTTGTAATTTGTTCATTAAAATAATAAATTTAGTTTATATGTAAGGTAATGCACATTGTTTACAAGTGATATATGTTTTAATGACTGATTTAGCATTTTTTTTTATCAATTTTATGTATGTATGATTAATTTATATTCAGTTTCAGTTTTTTTCTTTATGTTTTTGTTTCAAAATTTTGTTTTATACTTCGGGTATATCCGAACCGAACCGAAATAACCCGAATCCGAACGATATATGGTTACTTTACGGGTTTTATGTTGCAATACAAATTTGAACCGAACCCGAAGTGTTATTATCCGAACCCGACCCGTACTAGTAAAATATTAGAATGGGACCTATGAGCGTAAACCCGAAAACCCGAAAATCCGAAAAACTCGATCCGAACGCCAACGGGTACCCGAACGCCCAGGCCTAGTTATAACTTATATAAGTCGATATCGCCAGTGTCTTGTCTCTTTAGAAATAATCTTGATTTTCTAATTAAACGTAAGGGTGAACTACATTCGAGTTCTAGTCAAACACTAAACGCTTGTTGGTTGAGCGAGCTTGACTTCTTGAGGTCATTTGATCCTTCACTGACGAGTTTTCTCCGTGTTTGATAATCTGTTTATATATGGAACTAGGAGTTGAGAAATTTATCTAGCAAGTTATTTAGACAATGAATTTTTATCAACAATGAAGAGCCTAACCTTCTGAATATAGTATTTATCGAAAAACTTGATATTTTCGTATGGGTTACCCCACATATTTCGGGAAAAAATAGAAAATATCAAAATTTTGTTTTAAACGCATATTTGCATCATTCAGTGACATAGTATGAAGGTTAAAGATGTTTGGGACCTTAGTTATTCATGTTTCTTCAAAAAATAGAGTTTTTGTACTAGGTTTTGTCCACTGATTAAGTGGTACATGAATTTTAAATAAATAACATGTTCGAAAATTAGAAATGATGTCCATGTACCATGAAAATAATTTTTACATATATTAATAAAAATTTAGAATGTGATTAGGTAATTATTTATCAACAATGAAGACCCTAAACTTCTGAATATAGTATTTATCGAAAAACTCGATTTTTCGTAGGGGTTAGCTCACATATTTCGGGAAAAATTAGAAATATGAAAATTTTGTTTTAATGAATATTTGCATCATTCAGTGACATAATATGAAGTTTAAAGAGGATTGGGACCTTAGGTGTTCATGTTTCTCTAGAAATTTGAGTTTTTGTAGAGGGTTTGTCCACTGATTAAGTGGTATATGAATTTTAAATAAATAACCTTTTAGAAAATTAGAAATGATGTCCATGTACCATGAAAATAATTGTGACATACATTAATACAAACTTAGAATATGATTAGGTAATTATTTATCAACAATGAAGAGCCTAAACTTCTGAAGTTAGCCCACATATTTCGGGAAAATTAGAAAATATGAAATTTTGTTTAGTGCATATTTGCATCATTCAGTGACATAATATGAAGGTTAAAGAGGTTTGGGACCTTAATTTTTCATGTTTGTTCAAAAAATAGAGTTTTTGTAGTGGGTTTGTCCACTGATTAAGTGGTATATGAATTTTAAATAAATAACATGTTCGAAAATTTGAAATGATGTCCATTTACCATGAAAATAATTTTAAAATACATTAATAAAAATTTATAATGTGATTAGGTAATTATTTATCAACAATCAAGAGCCTAAACTTCTGAATATAGCATTTATCGAAAAACTTGATTTTTTCGCAGGAGTTATCCCACATATTTCGCGAAAAATATAAAATATGCAAATTTTCTTTTAATGCATATTTGCATCATTCAGTGACATAGTATGAAGGTTAAAGAGGTTTGAGACCTTAGTTTTCATGTTTTTTCAAAAATGGAGTTTTTGTAGTTGGTTTTTCTATAGATTAAGTGGTATATGAATTTTAA